GTGTTTTGGTGTGTGTGTGAATACATATAATAGTAAGTATGCATCTTTCTATATATATATATGCGTGTGTGTGTGCGTGTGCGTGCGTGCGTGTTCGTGTGTGCCTGTGCCTGTGTATATTTCTATATTTATATACAAGTCTATGATCTTATACGTTTGGGTATTACCTTGCGCTTATCAAGTCATATCCAAATACAACTTTGATAGTCATTCAGGCACACTTGAAGGTGTGAATTGTTATCTCGGTATTTAACTTTAGGCAGATGTAAGATCGAACAAGTATACATATATATGCTAGTATGTTTCAGGCATGTGCGTGGGCACATAATCGCTAACGCGGTACGAATGTATAGTCAAAAGTATGCGTCCAATCCACATTGTACACCTGTAAACATTTATGTACTTACGCCACGTATCATATACTCGGTATTAACCTTCAAATAGTTCGAAGGACTGCAACAATCTTCTGTGGACAATTTAATTTTGTGTCGTTTCTACTCTTGGAAAGTACACTACACATACCCCTAGCCGTATTCGAATACTATCCTACACGCTTTACTCATAAGTACACATTCATGTATATAATTTATATACTGTCCCTTCTGAACTAGGCACGAGTCACGGACGAACGAGAGCACCGTATGGAGTCAATGCGGCACGAGAGAGAGTCTCGCACCGAAAGCCGCCGAAGTCAATCGCTGCAACATGCGGATGAACGCCTGTCCACAAAGGTCGGAGACGGGATCAAATTTAACATCACGTTTGAGAATCTGAGCTATGGCGTCCACGTGGACGGTAAGAGTAAGGAACCCAAGTGGCTGCTGAAGAATGTGACAGGCTCTATCAATCCGCGGCAAATGACAGCGCTCATGGGTCCCTCAGGTAAGCGTCTACAGGTTTTGAAGTAGTGTGCAATCATGCTAGTCCATTGTCTATACTAGTGGCTGTTCGCTTTCCGATCGAAAATCAGTTGTAAACTGGACAAGCGAATAGGGTGTATATCCGACATGCTACGACGATTAGATTTGATGTGTGCACATTAGAAACCACGCCAATTTGGCATATACCTGATAGTGGATTCGCCTCTGATATGTACATAATTTTTTATTGTTCTTCTTGCCTGGTATGTACATGGTCGGTTATTATTCCACGTGTCTGGCATGTACAGGATCTCTAATTGTTCTATGTGTTACAATGGGCAGGTGCTGGTAAGTCTACATTGCTAGAGGTTCTCGCTGGACGCAAGTCCACGGGTGTAGTTGAGGGCAGCCTGCTGTTCAATGGCAAGGAAAGAACAAGGGAGATGAAGCGATGGTTTGGCTTTGTTGAGCAGAGAGATTCGCTCATTGCTACAATCACTGTATGTCAGTATGCTGTGCGAGTTGTTGTTGCTGTTGTGTTAATGAGATTGGTTCGTATTTGCGCGGGTATCCAGGTATTTTGCTTAATTGTAGATTTCAGTACTTTGGCTGAACAGTTCGTAGTGTAAATTCACCTGGACAGTTTATTGCACACTATCTGCACTATTATAAGAGAACGAGTCCTCCTATACAACGTTTCACTATTGCTCGTCCCCAGTGCCTATCTAGAAAACTATCTGATTCGACAACTAGTATGAAGTGCCTATGCTGTCTGCTTGCACCTTCAACAATGCACCCTTACTCATTGTCTGTGAAACGTCTTGCCGCCGAAGTAGGTCCGGGAAACTCTGATGTATACGGCCAGGCTAAGAATGAAGGCCAATGGACTGAATGACGAGGGCGACCGTATGCTGCAAGATGAACGGTATGACAACTACCTACCCAGCTCTGCGCTATGTGTGGTGCTCTGGAATTGATCCTGATATCTCTGTGTGGCTCGGTTGTGTTGTCGCCAGTCTATCTTACTTTATTCTTGTCAGTTTATGTTTATTTGTAATTGTATATGATTCCGGTAGAAGGTTTTTTGGTCATCCTGGCTTATAACTCTGCGCCCTTATTTCTCACGTGCATATCCACGTTGTGTCATATCCACTTCTCAGGGTCGATGAAATCCTCAGCCTATTGGGACTACAAGGGTGTGCCGATGTGATTATTGGAGATGAGGGCAATCGCGGTGTTTCTGGGGGTCAAGCTAAGCGTGTAAATGCAGGTGAAGTTATCTTTGCAACGCTGCGTGCACTCTTATTGTTCGTGCTATATGAACCAAACTCGTTCAGTGTTTACCATATGCTGAGTTTACAATGCTTCACAGCCACGCTAACCTACACGTCAATACTTTCAGGTATGGAGCTCATCACCAATCCCTCTATCCTGTTTTTGGACGAACCTACATCTGGATTGGATTCGGCCACATCCCTAGACTTTATTAGGTATAGTACTTGTGAGTTATCCCTAGACTATTAGGTATAGTATTTGTGAGTTTGGGTGTGGGTATTAGGGTAGGTTTAAGTCTAGTCGTGAAGTGGGTTTACTTTGCACGCGAGTGCTTGTTACCTGGATTAGATTATCGGTGTATTCGTTGCTGTTTATCGGTAAAGTGCCCCTTGATCATCTCGAGTACAACGCACATCACTCGAGTCATCTGTTTTCATTCTGCAACACACTACCTCATAACCGCTCCCGAAAAAGGCTCTGAAAATCAATATCCTCAATTTCACGTGCAGTTGTATCAAGGACGTCTGCAATCGCGGAGTGTGTGTGATTTGCACTATCCATCAGCCCTCCACCGATGTTTACAAACTCTTTGATCGTTTGCTGCTGTTGGTGGCGGGTGAAGTGGTGTACCTGGGTGACGCTCAAAATGCCCCGAGTTACTTCGAGGTATGTGCACGGGCATATATATTGCATGCTTGCACAGACACATATATATACATCCTTAGTGTAGACATAGATATATGCATGCTTAATACAGACATAGATATATACATGCTTACTACAGACATAGATATATACATGCTTAATACAGACATAAATTTATACATACTTAATACAGACATAGATATATTTCAAGCTTGATACGGACATAGATATATACATGCTTAATACAGAGGTAGATTTATTCTAGCTTGATACAGACATAGATGAATTCATGCTTAATACAGACAGATTTATTCATGCTTAATACAGACAGATTTATTCATGCTCAATACAGACATAATATATCCATGCTTAATACAGACAGGTATATTCATGCTTAATACAGACAGAGATATTTTCAAGTTTGACACATGCTTGTTACAGTCATAGACATACTCAGGTTTAATACAGACAACACAAGCATATATATACAAATGACATAGTTAAACCGTTGCCCAGTCGAATATGATGATTGTGTGCTGATGGCTGGTGAGGGCGTGTACATAATTAGTTCAGCGCGACTGGTGTACAGTAACCACAGCAGTTGTCACTAAATGCTGCAACCGCGTGTGTATTCTGTTCAAAGTGCGCTGGACGAATCTCATTTATTTTGGTCGTGGCACGAATCGAGTTCGGCTACGCAATGCGTGCTTGTGGTCAGGTGTGCTCGTCTCACTACCTTTAAGATACAAACCATTATTTTACGAACACCGGTTCGCTTCTTAACCATTGGAGGATAGAGTCCTGTACTTGCGCATTGGACTCACACTCATAATCCATTATGTATCTGTATAGGAGCATGGATTCAAAAGACCACCGAAGCAAAATCCAGCAGATTACTTGGGTAAGTGCGAGAGTTGGCATTTAATGGTTGGGTTGTGCTCTATCTATCACCCGTTGCGGGTATTGGCTTATGTTGTTGCCGTGAAAACCCCCCCCCCCAAAAAAAAAGTTTGTAACTACGCCTGTCCCATCGTCAATGGCATTGGTGCATTGTATCTCATAATCAATAGCTTTGGTGTAGCATATCCTATCTTGGATAGTATTTGTGTAGTATATCACATTGTACCCCCTATAACGCGCCCTTGTAGGTATCACACTCCACCCTGAGTAAATGCACATCAGTCTAGAGCTTATGGGGCACTGCTTCTACGCTGGTTTTAGGGTGTGCGAGGTGAAGGGCTTCATGTGGGCCTAGGATGTGCGCAACACTTTGCTCCCGCCTGCTACGCCAGCATCTCGATGTTATGGTTCCAGAATGAAGAAAAAAACTAGCCATCACTTTTTCCTCGCCCTTTCAGAATGAAACTGTATGCTCTAACAGCAAATCGATCAAGATCGTGTTTGGGTTTTTGTTTGCTGCATCTGCATCGCATACACCTTAGATAAGCCATCTTATACACAGTGCAAAACAAGTCGGTAGCCTTTATATCACGTAGTGTATATACGACTGTATTTAGTAGGTATATACTGAACCATTGCTATCCATACCACGCGCAATATAGTATCTGTGACAGCTGGCCACCCTCCCATGCTGGAAACGCCGGAAACGAAGTCGTGGCCCGATATCGATCCCAAGTTCTGGGTTGAAACATACCAGAAATCAGCCATGGCCGAAGCCAGGAAAATATCTACGATGTAAGTTAGTGGAGACTGTGCACTGTGTAAGGCGGTGTGCTGTTTTTAGCGTTGTAGCTAGCATTGCTTAGAGGGGCGCTGGAGAAATCAAGGGTTGTAAGGTTTAGGGTATATTGATCGGTGTCTTGCCGATGTAATACAAGTGTAATTGTGTAGTTGTTTCGCGTTGCCATCGGTGCATTTAAATTGGGTAGGTACTAGGTTTTATGGTACTTACAGTTCGGTCACAGTCTCGTTGGGTGCGCCTGTGGACTGATGCTATTACTAGTCAATACCTGCGGATGACTATGTACCGATGCTTTGTTGTTGTGTTAGTAGTAGCTGACAATACTTGATTGTGTATGCATGCGAATAGGCAGCAATATATACTTGGCGGTGTCTACATACAGCAAGTTGTATGCCCCTTCTCTATTTGAAACAATTTCAATGGTTTTACAAATAATAATATCCCCTCACAAAAGTCGCTGGTTTCTGTCGGAACTGTGCAGGTCTTGATGCCGCCGATTCGAAATTCCCAATTTCAAATCGAGTTTAATAATACCCCATATACTGCAATTTACAACACATTGATTATTTGGATTTTCTATCCAGAACTGATTTTTGCAATCACGTAGCCCATTTTACCTTCAGCTGCCATGACAGTTCTATATTCGCCAGTCTATATCTCAAGCTCACGATGTCCCATTCTGGACTCCGGCATACGGTTGATCCAATGGTATCAAACCCAAGACTGAATTTCACCACATTCCCTTGCGCAATACAGCAAACACCGGGATGAAGTCACGCGGTCTGAGCTCAGCCGTGATGTCGATCTCTACGCCAACGGTAGGTATATTCTGGAGTGATTCCTAGCAGTATCGGTTTCTAGAGGTTTTAGGGTTGGAAGTGGGAACCCATAAAAGCGTAAAGAGGATGTGGTGTGCGACTGAAAAGTACGCGTGCGTGAACAGCGTGCATGTACCGTATGAAGTTACCCAAAGTAATGCAAGTCTATGACTGCGGATTTGGTGTGATGTGATGAATAGTAGTGCGATGATGTATATTCAGGATCAATCTATCTCACATTCATGTATACTAATTTATTTATATATGTGTGTGAGTGTGTGTGCGTATGTATATATATATCGACCACTTACACTCTCTATCGATCCTCTTACTGCACCCGGTCCAAACCAACAGGGTTCTACTACAATACCGCTGTCCTCACTCAGCGCGCATGGGACTCGGCTAAACGCGATAAGTCCTTCTTCTTCAAGCGTGTGATTGGCGCTATCATGGTTGGGATTATCTTCATGTTGGCCTATCTCTCGCCTGGATACGACCAGGCAGCCATCCGTGCTAAGCAGGTGCGTGCTTGATTCTTAATCTATTGGAACATCCTAATATATGCATGGATATATGCCTTTTGGTCATCGGGCGGTGGTATTATATATTTATATATCCTTCCGTACTTTAGTATAGTTGGCCTGGCATAATTATTATATAATAATCACATTTCGAAGGATTAGGAACTGTTATGCCGTTGCTAAAATGCGTCGACCCCCGAACGTATTTCGAGACGTCCACTGAATTTTTGTACAACTCAGCTCATAATCGCTCTATCTCATCGGATATCTTTCCAAACACGTCGGTATTGTTGGTAGTACTAACATTCATTTACTTCTTTCCTTTTTAAATATGTTGGTTAATCGCCCTAGTCGGTGCTGATGTTGTCGCTGACGTACTTCATATTTAGTTTCAACGCCATTGTTGGGCCTACAATTCAAAGCCGTGACTACAGTGTGAGAGAAATCAACGCCAACTCTTATTCTGTGCATAGCTATTTCTTATCGACAGTCATCTTTGAATCTCCGTGGAATGTCGTAAAGGTATGTGCACTGCAGGTAGAGATTCAATCGCAGGGTAGTAGAGCTTAATATTTTAGCTGAATTTAGATGTCCTAAATAGATCGAGTGTGAATAATACACCACAAGATATTTCGAAGCTGACATGTGCGCTTCTTTTATATTAGACAGTAGCCCGGCGTTTTGTGTGTGTGGCCTATAGTCTACTCTCTGCCAAGGCTGAAAGTTACTGCGTCTATCTTGCAGTGTTCTACCCCCACGGCAATAACTGTACGTAAGTATTGTAGCATACATTTACTTCTATAGGAGCATGGTACCTTCTTGATATTACCAAATGCAACACCAGACGCTGCTGTACAACACAGAAGCCCCATCACGCAATGACTTCATCTGTGTTTCGCCTTGTGTTTATTGCAGGCCGTGTTGTGGTCAGTTGTAATATACTGGGCGTGCGATCTCAAGCGCGAAGTGGGAGCCTTCTTCTTCTTCATGATGGTCACGTTCTTCATTGCGGAGACCGGTCTGAATTTCGCGCTGACGTTCTCGTTCTTCTTTCCCACGGCCGATGTCGCCTCCATGGCAATGGTCACCTTACCTTTACTGTATGTGTTTCCTTGGTATTAGTGTTTTCATGATGTGCGCTTTCTGGTATGATTAAAATGTTTGTTTGGTGTTTATGTTCGTGATATGAATGTCTGCGATGTGCATATGCCCACGACAGCGTATAGACTATAATGTCGTGCTGGTAGTCTTGTTCCTATACCACACTGCTGACTGGTCCCTCTGTCTGGTCACTTTGCCCATAACGTACGTTTTTCTCATATTGATATTTCTATGATGTACGTTTGCTTATAGTAGTACTTGTTTATGTTATGTTTATGATGTATTTATACGCACGAATTCAGTATATATACTTTTGTGTGAGTCTTTGGTACATACATACCTATGTTAACAGTGTGGTCGTGATATATTTACATGTGCCTTTGCTATCAGCTTTCTAGGCGTACGAATGTATCTACAGAAACATATTATACGGGTGTATGTGATATTACTGTTTCTATGACGTATGTCTTATGAATTCAGTGTTTCTGCGCTATTTCAGTATATGTTGATATTGTCTGTGTTCCGTGACATGTTGATGCTGTATGTGTGTTTGAGATATCTATTAACTTATGATGTACTCCTGCCTATGTTTGTAGTGTTGTGATGCTTGGATGTCAATGTATTATGTTGACGGGTCCACGTCGACACATGAGCTCACTACTAGTGCCTTCGCGATACTCATACTCACCTTGTATCCTCTATTGCCTTAGGTTCATGCTGTTCTCGGGATTCTTCATCGCGGTAAGTCAAGCAGTCGCGTTCGTTGTCGCAGAGTTCTTCTTGATAGCTGCCTACTTCCCGGTACTTCCATTCCTCGGATGCCGAGCTTTTTTGCGCACTCATGAATCCATACTCGTACTCACCTATACCTTTTTTGTTTTTATGCGTACATATGTATACCGCTATAGAGACCTGATATTCCTGACTACTGGATCTGGGCGTACTACATTTCTTTTGTTAACTATGGACTTTCCGCCTATCTTTTGAACGAGTTCTCAGGTATTGTGTTTGTTTACTATGGAGTTGAATGTATTTCGTAGCCTTAGTGCTATGGTTTCGCAACGTTGGGGTTGGTATTCATAGTCTGGTTGCGAAGTGTGTACTTGATTCAGTTGGTGCCGGTTGGGCTGGCCGAAACAATACGTACTGTATCTGACTTTTGAGGAATACAAGTGTCTTAATTTGCTATTTCTGACCGGATATATTTCACGCAACATACACCCGATCGATATTTTTACTATAGATACATTACAGTTATACCTCAGTGTTTGTAAGCGTTTTGGACGCATTGGTCTTAAATTTATCTCTGGTACTTGTATAGATGGTATATTCGAGAAGAAGAAGAAAATAATGTGCGTAGTTACTAAATAGATTCGGTAAGCAGTCCTTCTATATCATGGATTGTGCCTATATAAATGTAAACTTATATATATATATATATTTATACTAGTACTACTATAAAGTTTCCCCTTGTATAGATCAGTGGAACGGTGATATGTATGCGTTCTCTGAAATGAGTCTGAACGTTTTTGCGCGTGTTGAGATTATATGCGATCTAAGTGACCCAAAATTCGTTCAATATTATTTGGCAGGCAATTACGAGTATTGCGGATCGTACAACTATACAATAGGGTCTGAGCCTTTGTATGCGTACACGCCATGTGACAGCGACGTACCGTACAACTTTTCGTCCTTCACAACCAATATGACACTTCCGGTATGTATGTGCAGGGAATTTGTATCCAAATGCACACGAGAAAAAGGTTCCAGGTACAGACTGCAAGTTGGCTTATAGAAACTGTTGGCGTTTGTGCTTGCATCTCAGTACGCAGCTACAGCGTATGGCTTGAGATTTTTGGTTTTAATGTTCGTGATTATAGGCCTCGTTATAAGCATATTCGACAGTGAATGGGACTTCTATGAAAGGAAGACTATACCTTTCTTTAAAGCCGTAGGTTGATCCCCCCTGGGGAGGAGATGTACGCATCCAACGATGCTCTGTATCTAGACCAGGTCGCCTCTTGAGTCCATTGATTCCTTGTGAAGAGAAATATGTTGTATTGTTGACATATTTCATGACGAATTCCTTTCTTTCTTCGCCATCAGTCGGTGTTTCACGTATCCTGATTCTGTTTTCTAATTCAAAAAATATATATTTTTAGATGAATATTTTTTTCTCCGTTGCAGTACACCATCCCACCTGATGAAACAATCAGCGGCATGGGTATCCCCCTCTCAGGCTTTCAGTCGGATATGTGGCAGAATTTTGGCATGATACTGGTGATTTGGGCCGGCACTCGCGTCCTGGCCTTCATGGCTCTGCGGTTCGTCAAGCACGGGCGTATGGATTAGAAGAGCTCCAGCCCTATAGGATGTAATTTTATCTAGATTCTTCAGGCGAGAGATAAAATGGAGTAAAATATGGTAGGATGATCCTAGAGTCCATATCATATGGTATCGTGATGTTCACTGCACAAGGATATTGTACGAGAAATATATAGATTGCCAGGGAAGAAGTTGTTTTTTGGTCGAGCAACTGTATGCTAAATGCTTCGGTATTTGGTCTATGGCTACTTTGAGATTTGAGGTTGTTTCGTACCGAAGGTGATGTTAATGGATGTGGTAGCACACCACAGCGCTTACAATGCCAACACCAACTCTGTAGTAATCGCCAGAAATTTAAATGCAATAAATTAGTCTTCACTCAACACTCAGGCAACCCTCAAGAATATATTACCTTTGACGCAGGGTAAAGTGAGTGTTGCTACCAATCTGTAAGAGGCATTTGTTTATTTGGCTTATTTTATTGCTACATCGTGGCATCAGGATGGGAATGACTAAACAGCTGTATCCGTTTGCAGGCCGGAGACATAACTTGTCGTTCACACTTGATACTTGCCTATGTACTGATCTCGCACTTGTCTTGTCTGTGGATTACTGATATTCCCCTTAAACTTTATCAATCTGCTATTTCTCCACTATTACCTACTGCCGTGGAAGTAGATTGATAGTCATCCTTTAACTTGCGCTCAATACCCTGTCTCCATGTCTGTCGTGTACCGCATAATCTATCTCACGAAAGACACATTGTGTACTTGTCGTCCTCTGGCAGTCCCAACCCAGAATCCTGTTCACCTGTCCTCTATGTGCTTATGCATATCTCTTCTTACCACAAGACATTCCTTTGTGCGCGTTCACGCTGACGATCACTCCGCGGCAGTGACCATGGCTCCGCTGTCAAACCACACTCTCCCGACCACTAATTTCGTGCGTGCTCTTACTTACCTCTTCTATACGATTTTCTTCCATTCATATTCGATAAAACGAATTTAACTTTCTATTATTCATATTCAACAAACCAAATGTATTTTTCTTCTTTTCATATTCAATGCAACTAAGCTATATATCACTCCACGGCAATAAACATCATCGTGCACTATGTCATCCCACACCCAATATCATATCACCCTTCTCTTGTGTTTCCATATACATTTCCTCGATACATCTATCTATACTATATCATATGTATTCTTTAACCATCACTCCGTATCAGTGAGATCATCGTGTTCTTATCGTTCTCTGTCAACCCACACTCGATACCATATATCTCTTCGATATACCTTCTTTATGTTCTGTCATACGTTTTGATGCTGATACCTATCGAATCACTCAAGTGGGTATCATTGTCTACTTGCGCCCATTATCATTTCATACCAAAAATTAAACCAACTAATAATAGGGGGGGGGGATTGGAGAAAGCGAGCCTATATTTTAATCGCTCACTATCTCTCCACGGCAGTAAACATCATTGTGTACTTGTCGTCCTCGGTCAAGCCACACTCGATATCCTGTCCAGGCAGAATAGGTCCGACACCCGCGGGAGTGCCAGTGAGAATCACATCACCCTTCTCCAGTGTCATAATCGAGCTGCAATGTGTTATACGTCGGAAATAAGACTCTTATACTTGTAAACTTCAATGACATCGAATTTAATTTCACGAGACGTGGTTTTAAGCTAACCAAAGAGCAACGATTGGATAGTATGGTTGCGATTGTATGCTATGGTTGGAGCTATCAAACATGATCTTTAAGACTATATAATCAAGTGCATTGAGCTATATAAACGACTCATTGAGCTATATAATCAACTGCATTGAGCTATAAATTCAAGTGCATTGAGCTATATAATCAAGTGCATTGAGCTAAATAATCAACTGTATCGAGCTATAAATTCAACTGCA